AGTAGTGAGTGTGTGTGTGTTCGAGTGTTAGAGTGATGCGTGTGGGATATCCAGGGTGATCCAGTGTATGTGAACAGTGAGATGTTTGGGCGCTGAAGTCGCCATAGCCACTTGAGAGTGAACTCGTATCTGAAGCCATATCTCTGAGTTTTGAGTGGGCGCATGTCGCCAGTGTGCTGCATTACTGTTTACATGTGTGAAAAGTGTGTTTGAAAACGAGTCTGATTGCATGTGTGGCTGTGCAGCCCCAAACTCCTTTCTGCGAATGCACCAAGCCAGGAGTACTGTCTACGTTCATTTCACGTTCTAGTGAGTCCCTGTCTCCTACATTGCGTAGTATGTGGAGCCTTACACTGAGGATTGCTGTATTTTCCATTTTGCTTTTGAGAAAATACGGACAAAGATTTCAGTAGCATTTGGTTATTTCAACTTATTTGTTGTTTTTTGGGAAATAGGGGGGAAAAGCTTTCAGCAGCATTTGATTCTCCTTTTTTGCCTTTGTTTTGAGTTTTTAAGTCGCAAAAACAGTGTCACACCGTTGCGTTGAGCTAGTTCAACGGTGCATGTGGGACTTGGCCCCCGTGAGAGACTGGTGCGAGGCTAAAAGGCCTCCGTAAGCCCTACTGGGCCTTGTTTCGGCGAGAACGGCCGCCCTAAGTGAAGGCAGGCCTGACCAGCGACGCGAGGCCTGTTTTGTGTCTCGACGCAGCTGGTGAAATTCAGGCAGTTGCGCTGCGTCCGCTGGTTGAATGTGCCCAGGCCCTGCTTGCCAACCTCTCGGGCCTCCAGGCCCTTTATTCTATGAATCGGAGGCAGGCCCTGGACCAGACACAGCGCATGAACTGAACACAGCCTGACTGGGTAGTTGGACACGGGTAACCTCCCCAGGCCCTGTGGAAGATTCCCTGGGACAGGGGTCAGCCACTTGGGGCCTACCGGAAGCCTCCTGGGAGAGGGCCAGGCCAGCCAGGCAGCCCACAACTGGCAGCCTCATTCCATAAAGGAAAGGGCCTGGCTGCTGGCTGGACATTCGGGCACTTGCTGCATGCTGCGCTATTTCCACGCAAGTGCTCACGCGCCCATGGGCGAGCCAGGCAGAGAGCAGGCAGCCATAGCCAAGCTTGCCTGCCCATAGCTGGATGGTGCGCATGGTGGTCCTTGGGTGCACGTGGCATCTGTGTGGGGGATCGAGGTTGTCAGTGAAGCGGGGGACATACATGGTGCTTGATGCGAACGGCACTGGCCGAGATCTGCTCATACTTCAGGAAGCTGTTGACGTCACCAGCGGCATTGTAGATAGGCTAGATAGGATCTGCCATTCGTAGTCTGGGCGCTGAGTGCCAGATAGGGATTCGACATTGGTTCATTGTTGATAAGGATGAGACTATTTCAACATAATGATTGTCACTTGTGAGCTTTTGCTGTGCTCTTATTTGGTGGAACTCTAGTTGCACTTCTGCTTCTCGTTCGAGGTCAAGACTATCTGCAGTGGTTTCATGTGTATGACGCTGCTTGGTTTTCTGGAATTTGCTATCGCTCATTTTCCTTGCACTGGGAGCATTCAATGCCCTCTAGCCCTTTCAATCTCAGGGCTTCACAGACAATCACGTTCAGAGCTTGTGTTCCTTTTCCCCATTGTTTTTTCTTTTCTTTTCTTTTCTTTTTCGGATGTATCTCGACTGTTTTTTCTAATCCCTCCCCGTGAGAGACGGGGAGCATCCAGTGCCTGGCAGCCCTTTCAATGTCAGGGCTTCACAGTAAGGTTAGCACTTTCCACTTATGGGCTGCGCTTATGTATCCAGTGTCTGCACAATGTCTGAGGGCATGTTCAGAGCTTGTCCTTTTTTTTTTTTTTTTTTTTTTCTGTGTCCCTTTTTCCCGTTGTTGTTGTTCTTTTTTTCTTTTTTTGGGAAGATGTATCTCGCTGTTTTCTCAGCTCCCCGTGAGGGACGGGGAGCATTCAGTGCCTGCCAGCCCTTTCAATCTCAGGGCTTCTCAGTAACATTAGCACTTTCCACAATGTATCTGCCTGCAATTATGGGCAGCAGTGGACGAATCTGAGAGCAATAATGTTCACAGCATGGCATGCCTTTTGGGAAAGAAGTATCTCTGCTGTTTGTGCTTCTCACTGCCCGTGAGAGATGGGGAGCATTGCAGTCTCGCATTTCAGTCTGTTTCCAGAATGGATCTGGCTGCACTTCTGCGCAGGCCGTTTTCAGGTTCACGAGTGGAAACAGGAAACGACGGCCTCCTTACATTCCAGCTGCTGGCAGCAGGTCCAGCATAAGGGGTGGTACCTGTGCCAAGCAGGAAATATCCGATATTGGCTCCCGCCCCCTACAGGCTCAGCAAAATATGGCACGCAGCGCATTTTCAGGCTCGGCATCAATAGCTGAGAAAGGTACTGGTGGTTTAAGATAAGATGGTAAATATATAAGGTTCTAAATTCTTATATATATATATATATATATATTTATAAGGTTCTAAATTCTAATCAGCATGAAGGACCTAAACCGCAACAGAAGGTAGGGACAGTGGCGGGAAGGAGGACGAGGAGACGGTGCAAGAGGAGGGTCCCGGATTGTTACAGTACTGACGAAACAAAAGAATGCACGGAAAGGGAGGGAGAGAGGCCAGGGGTTGGATGGAGTGAACAAGGGGAACGGACAAAAATTCACCCAATGAAATGCAAGAATGCTATGTTTTCTTGTTGTGCCCGTGTTACTTTCCAATGGGCCTAAACCAATGAGGTGGTATCACAAGATACGTGAGCAGAGGATATACGCCTGCCAAGTCATTGAATTGCATGCAAATCGATAGCACGGACGAATTCGAGGTTTTCATCTCTGCTGTGTAAACATCAGGGTCATCGTGGCTTCGGAGAAGTGAAGCATGGGAGCTACTTGCGGGTGTCTCATCTTCGTCACTGTCTGCTTGGGTAGGTTCCTTTGAAGTAATCAAGATGACCTCTTTCGCATTTGGGACTTTCAAGTGGAACCTTACATGTGTGTCCTGCACCAACCAACCTGACCTGGGTTTGTAAAGTTGGCAATTGTTGATGAGGAAGTAGGGGTGTTGTTTGGGATGAGGCTGTCCTCCGCATATATTAGTTGTGACGACTTTCCATCGGACAGCAAGTCGCCATGGCATAACAGTTTCACCGCTCTCATTCCAGAATTTCTGCCACCGCTTGGTACCAGAATCTGCCCTTAGAAAGTTCTCTGGTTTAATATTCTCAATGCTCTGCGGTTCAACTCCAGAGTGGTCGGTGGGGGTCACCTTCCTCGCAAAGACATCCAGTATGTATTCGCCTTGCCGCGGAAATGAAATTCTGTTGGAGACGAATTCCTGCTCTCGCTCAATAAGACTCCACCAGTCCTCAAGTCTTGCCGACCAATCGGCTGTCGTGATGACGTTCTTTATCTCTACGTCAAGCGGAACAGTCATTGTGACATGCAGGCCAGCGCTTTCTGGCGGCGAATGAATCACACCCGTAAGGCAGTCGATCAATTGGATGCCAAGTCGAAAGTACGTGGGGAGACAATGAGGGAGACTCAGGAACTCATCGATAGTGATGTACGGTGGCTTTAGCAGTTGCCACTGCTTCTCTAAGGGGAAATGGTGGTACATGAATTCTTGGGGAGGAGTACAAAACCCGTCATCTGCATCACAATCATCATCGACATCTTCATCCCACGAGCAGTCCAACAACCACCACTGCCTGTCCGCTTTGACAGCAGACCACCAACTAGTCGGCTTCAGAGACTTGTATCCGGGTAAAAATGTCTTTCCCTTTGCGTAGCCAGCTATGGAGGCTGCCTTGAGGCCGCATGCCTTTGCAACTCTCTCAAATAGAAGGGCCACTCTCTCCTTCCAGACGTCGATTGTCGGGAACTCGACCTTAAAAGGATTCGATCTCCCGACTGTTTTGATGTGGCCTGATTTGAGATCATCCTTGATTACCTCACAAGTCTCTCTGACCCATATGTAGCAAGCCCTGACCTTGTGCATATCATTTTTTACCCCAATTGTGCTCAACCAGGTCACCAGTCCATCATCCCCGCCTGCTCTTGCATTGTCCTCCTCTGCCTCGTTCATCACTTGTGAATCGATTGCTGAAAACTTGCCATCCCACCGGTCCATGGACTGAACGTCGTATCTGCGAAGCTGAGCTGGCAGACATTTTCTATTCAGGTCATTGACCTTTACTTCTTTGATGCACTGGTACCGGTTGCGAGCAATCTGAGGCCTGTGGTCTTCATGAGTTTCACTGACCTTGAGGACGTCCTGGAAAGTGACCTTCATCCCATCCAGAATGACCAGATTAGGGAGCATATAGATAAAATGGACCCAAATATTGGGCATTTCAGTTATAGGATTGTGTTTAACGGACAAGTGCTGCAGTAGTTGCAGTCCTGAAAGCCATCGCAGTTCCTCTAGGTCACATATCAAGTTGTCCGAAAGGTCGAGGCTGATCAAAGAAGTCTGGTAGGGCACTCCCTCTAGGGACTGTATATGATTTCTGGCAAGTTCCAAGACCTCTATCATGGAAAGGGAAACCAGTGGAGCCAAGGATGAAATGGCATTCCCACTCGCATTCAGCGATTTAAGAGAACGAAGACCTTCGATGCCGTGTAGCGACATCAGACGGTTCTCTTCTATCTGAAGAGTTTGAAGCCATCTGAGATTCTCTAAGCCTGACAAATTGCTTATTCTGTTAAAACTTAGGTTGAGGTATCTGAGGCATCTAAAGGGGGACAAATCCTTGATGTAGTTGATGAGGTTGTGAGCAAAGTCTGCACATAGGAGACCTGGGAGAGGTGGCTCTATGTCCAGGACATCCTGAAGGCTATTGTTTGATGCATCAATATAAGTTAGACTACGGAAGTCTCCCAGGGTCTTAAGATCTTCAGCTTGTGTACGGTTTATGACAACCTTGGTTACATTTAAAAGGGGGGTCCCAAATCTGGGCAAGCGTTTGAGTGAGGGATCTCCCTCTAGCCGGAGTTCTTGATAAACATAAGATGTACCATCTGGAGATTTTCCTAATTCTCTCAAGGCATTTTTGGCAATTAGTTCAACCTCAGTCAGAACGGCTTCTTCTTGTACACTGTGACCTACTTCTTCTACAACCCCACCCTCTTCTTCTAAACCCCCACTTAGAACCGCTCCAACTTCTTCTACAGCCCCTCCTTGTGAAGTTTCTTGAGCAGACTCCGCCAGAGCTCCTTCTTGGGGAGGAGGTTCACCGTCTAGAACAGCTTCCTCTGTGCTTTCGGGCATGGCCATCTCTCAAGCCGTCAAATCAGATTGGAGCTTAGTTTTGCCCCGCTTCTGTTATTAATGGTAGCTTTCGATAACCCAACCCGCCCATTTGCCAGTCAGGTTGAGCCTCTTTTGAAATTTGTTAGTTACCAATGAGAAAAGTACCAACCAATGGATACGACTTCACTCGCTACAAAGTTATCGCCATGGGTCTCCCGAATATGATGAAAAGAAGTCTGGGCGACACCATTTGAGCGAGACGAGAGAGCCGTGAGGGAAACTGTCTAAGGAGGTAGGCGAGGTTTAGAGCAGGGGAGAGAGGTACACACACAAAAGGGCGGGGTGAGAGAGAGAGAGAGAGA